GTCGAAAAATAGGTAACTGCAGGACACTACTAGGTTAAAGTAATTGCTCCTTTATGTCTAGACTTCCATTTAGGTAAGGTAACTAAGCACCACCCCAGCAACGGCAAGCAAATGCTGCAGTTTTGAGTTCAGTTTAAAGGGTATGTAAAGCCAGTGTAAACAGGCTATAAGGTATTCCATCTCAACTCTCAGAGTTTGTAGCCATCTTTACTGGAGTTGATTGCAGTTGTAGATATGCTGCATTCGATTGGAAACATAATTATCAAAATAATGTCTGTCTACAAATCGATTCTTTGCTAAGAGTAACCCCACCCCACCTGCATGATGTTTACATCAATAAATCAATGTCAGAAAACTACTATAGGGTTATAATGAAATAAAATGTTGGAAAGTCCAAATATGCATACCTTAATCACTCATCTTAACATAAAATATAGAGAAAAAAATTTACATTTTTTATTAATTTTTGGTCTTAACTATATGGTTAGTTGCGTTTTTATTATTAATTTATAAGTGCATCACACTAACTGTAATCACCACTTACAAAATTTCTAAACATTTTTCTACATATAGTATACACGCCCCTAGCTGCCCCAACAAAGGTAGACTGGACTAGGGCCCATCAGTAGTCCAATCGACGGGCAGCAGAGGACGGAGCCCAACCTATGGAGACTTAGTATTCTACACAATAGATATAAGGCTAGGTAAATAAATAGTACGTACCTGGTTCCGAAGCTAAGACTGCCCCAAGGCTCGGTCAGGCGGTAGGTAGGTGTAGGTGCATGTAAGTGGTGTGTAGTAGTGTTTATATATGTGACCTGACGGCCCAATTTAATCGGACAGAAAATCCACCGGAGCTGATGTTCTCCCAATGCGCGCTCACTCAAGTCGTGGATCACCCATACAAAATTTCTGCTTTCATTTCACTATTTCAGTCTATCAACTTTATTGTACACTATTTCAATCCATCAACTTTATTGTACATTTAATTAACTTCAAACTCAACTAAATCCCCGTTAATCGTAATCAAAACGTAACACACGGCACGACTAATGAACGGTGGATCAAAGTTCACTTCCGTTTTTACTCAGCAACAAATTATTTCTAGAACCGAACGCGACCTTCTCTAGGGTCACAAAGTTCCGCGTTGCAAACAACAAACTAAATTCCTTCGTACGATATTAAATACTACGCCCGCATTAAGACTCAAAATCAGCCTAGCTGACACGCAAACTAACTACATAGTCAACACACAAAAGGCACTTAACGCGACGGTACAATTAAACATTAACTTCCAAAAACAATTAACCGGGACACGCCCTCGAAATGGAATGCGAGTATCAAATTCCAGACCGTATGTCCACTCGGCGTGCGCGCAAGGTTCCATGTCACACAAGCAAGTTAAATATTGCAAAATGCACTTCCACATGCAATCACTATACAATTAACGTAATTACTTTCAAACGAAATTACTTTCAATTTGAAATTACTTACGCAAATTCAATACAAGCCTCTTGTCACGAACGTACAACTTAGACAAACTAACACATAGATTAACGTTAATTGAGTATATTGGGAACGCAAAATGCGTTTGTAGATCAAAGTGTGCTGAGAGCGCGGATTTGTTATGACTCCTTCCTCGTACATGTAAGATATACTAAAATATATACCGAGCTTTAAAATAATGCTTCATAAAACTTACATAAAAAGACTTCAGACCGTTAATGACAATAAATTAACGACTGGAGAAGATGCAGTTTTTTCCAATGCCAACTTTAGTGCTTTTAGAAAACATTATAACGTCATTAGTAGGTGTTTTTAGGTTTGTTTTACAATATACGAAATTGTAAAACTTTCTTCTGGCTTTTTGGTAATTCAAAAAGTCATATAATTGTTTAAAGTTCAGAGATGTAGTAATAATAATGTTTTCTAGACCGTTTTTGGTTACGGCGGTCAGTTTCAACTGGTGGTTTCAAACTGGTGCACTTTCTATTCCCACACTCTCATAGTTCGACAGGAAGGCATTCCGACACAACGAAAGAGAGAGAGAGAGAGAGAGAGAGAGAGAGAGAGAGAGAGATAGATAGAGATAGCAGGCGCAGGACCAACGGCTTTACGTACTTTCCGAGACACGGGGTGAAACATCGACAATTTTCTAATAGCTGATTTTTACTGAAAATTTATCTCTAGAAAAACCCAATGATTGAATTTGGTTCTACCCGAGATTCGAACCCGGCGTACGCAGATCTTTTGCCATTTCAAAGAAGAAGATGAGAACCGTGTAATGGCGGTGTTAGAATATTCATTAGGTACCCCAAATCATCCCGTAGGTGTCGTAACAGACCACAGAGGGAAATTTAACCAGGAGACGGGCAGCAGCGTCTTTCTGATAACAGCAGAAGAAAAACTAAAATTTGTGGTTGCCACCCGTAAACCGCTTCAACAATGGCAAATATCCCCCCCCCCCCCTATCGGGAAGCATAATATGTTCAGCAGTAGACCTTTGATAGGCTGTGACGGCAACGGTAAAAAGCATTCGATTTGGTAGACAACGCATTCTACGGCTGCCAAAACTTTAAATTTATTATCGAGCGAGTGACTGCAGTTAGTTTGTTCGAGTGATCGGCCCGGTCTGGAGTCAGTCAGGGAGGAATCACCTTAGGATCTACCGCTAAAATTCTCATGTTTGCGGATGACTTGAAGCTCTGCCCGGCTGTGAGTAACGAAGCTGATGCTATGGCTTTACATTGACATTGACTCATGTGCCGAGTAGAGCAAAGCTAACCGGCTGCCTTTAAATACCTCTAAATACCAAGTCATCACCATACCATCGCTATTTATATCCATCTTTGTTCGTATCGGATACGATCAGTTTGGACACGCTAACGTTGAAGCGGAAACTACTGCTCATAGTGCACTATTTTTCGCTCCTGCACAATGCGGCGGACAATCGGATAGTTCTACAGCAAATAAACATACGGGTGCCAAGGCGAGGCGCGGAGACAGTGCCGCGCCATTTACCTCGGCTCTGCGTGACTAAGCAACGTGCCCTCCGCGCGAGCGCGCGTTATTCTCGGTGACATGCTCCTTCGACACGAAAATATCGACATATTCCCTCCCATTGTGCTAAACACGAGTGCTCCGGAGTTGGCACCGGTTTTAACGCGTCCTTTCCGGTACTCCTACTCCCATGGCGTACTCACGAATTCCTGGAAAACAGCTTTGGTCCACCCGATCCCTAAAAAAGGCGACCGCTCAGACCCGTCCAACAACAGGCCTATCGCCATCACCCCCTTGTTCTCCAAAATAATGTAGTCTATTATGAACTGCCAGCTCATGAGGTACCTTGAGGATCACCAGCTGAATAGTGACCGCCAATACGGTTTTCATCGGGTTCGATCAGCTGGTGATCTTATGGTCTACCTGACTCATAGATGCGCGGAGGCAATAGAGTCCAAGGAGGAGGCATTGGCCGTTAGTTTGGACATAGCGAAGAAGGCCTTCGATCGGGTCTGGCACAAAGCACTGCTTTCGAAGCTACCTTTCTATGGGCTTCCCGAGAAATTGTGCAATTGGATCACCAGTTTCCTTGCTGATCGAAGCATCAAGGTCGTTGGAGACGGTGCATGCTCTGATTACAATCCTACTAACGCTGGTGTTCCACAAGACTGTTTGTTTTGCATATCAATGATATGTGGTAAGCTGGTAACATACATTGCTATACAGACGACAGAACTTAAGGATTGGGGGCGACTAAATCTAGTCCAGTTCAATCCCCAGAAGACACAAGTTTGCGCTTTTACCGCTAAAAAGAACCCCTTTGTCGTATCTCCTCAGTTTCAAGGCACTCCCCTTGCTGCCTCAGCTAGCATCGGAATCCTCGGCGTCGACATATTGAATAGTATGCAGTTTCGTGGTCACTTGGAAGGGAAAGCCAAATTGGCCTCTAAAAAGCTTGGCGTGCTCAGCAGAGCGAGAGAGTATTTCATACCGGCACATCGCTTGCAACTTTACAAAACGCAAGTTCGGCCTCACATGGTTCTCATCTCTGGGCCGGGGCACCCCAGTGCCAGCTCCTTCCACTTGACCGCATCCAGCGCAGAGTGATTCGAATCGTCGACGACCGAGTTCTTTCTGATCGGCTCGATACACTGGCGGTGCGTAGGTATGTTTCATCCCTTTGCATTTTCTATCAAATCTACCACGGGGAGTGCTCTGAGGAATTGTTGGGATTAATTCCAGCCGACAAATTTCACGAAAGTACATCGCGTTAAAATTCACGATACCATCCTCACCATCTGGATGTTAGGCGGTCCACGACTGTGCGTTTTACAAGGAGTTTTCTTCCTCGTACAACTTCTCTGCGAAATTGTTTAACACCGGCGATTTTTCCGGACCGATACGACTTAGGGACCTTTAAGAACAGAGCTTACACCTTTCTAAAAGGCCGGCAACGCATTTGCGATTCCCCTGGCGTTGCGGTTGTTCATGGGCGGCATTAGTCAGTTACCATCAGGTGAGCAGCATGTTTGCCCCCTCTTCCATAAAAAAAATATAGGTCTCTTTGTACTTAACACAAGGGCGCGGGGTAGGTATTGTGATTAAGTTTTTACGTAATTGGTCCGTTAGTCAATCTTCGTCATACATTGGATATTCACATGGAATTCGCCTGTAGTATATTGGCAGAAATTAGAGACTAGTTAGACCGAAAATTCAGAAAAAACTGTGTCATATCATCTATGACACGGACTCGGGCGCGGGTACCAGCTGGGTGCAGCGAAATTACATACGTGGATGAAATGCGAACAAAATAAAGACAGAGTTTCCTTAATTACATTAAACAAAATTAGAGTTAGATTGCTAAAAAAAAAACTTTCAGGGTTCAAAAAACACACTCGATTAAGGCCGCAGAGAATCTAGTAGTATAAATAGAAATCTATGTCTAGAAAATGTACATGAACAAATTAAAGTAGGTAAGGTTAGTGCATTAATGTACTCACCCCGCCAGCTGCTCTCGCAAATGCACTGTCCGGTAACGTGGTGGCAGCCGAGCGCATTGCGCGAGCAGTCACAGCGCAGCGCGCAGCCAGCGCCGAAGTAGCCCGCCGCGCAGCGCCGCTCGCAGCGCGTGCCCGTGTACCCCGCGCCGCACACGCACTCGCCTGACACACGCACACACACAAGTCAATATACAGCGCGAGCAATAGCCGAAGTAGCCCGCCGCGCAGCGCCGCTCGCAGCGCGTGCCCGTGTACCCCGCGCCGCACACGCACTCGCCTGACACACGCACACACACAAGTCAATATACAGCGCGAGCAATAGCCGAAGTAGCCCGCCGCGCAGCGCCGCTCGCAGCGCGCGCCCGTGTACCCCGCGCCGCACACGCACTCGCCTGACACACGCACACACACAAGTCAATATACAGCGCGAGCAATAGCCGAAGTAGCCCGCCGCGCAGCGCCGCTCGCAGCGCGCGCCCGTGTACCCCGCGCCGCACACGCACTCGCCTGACACACGCACACACACAAGTCAATATACAGCGCGAGCAATAGCCGAAGTAGCCCGCCGCGCAGCGCCGCTCGCAGCGCGCGCCCGTGTACCCCGCGCCGCACACGCACTCGCCTGACACACGCACACACACAAGTCAATATACAGCGCGAGCAATAGCCGAAGTAGCCCGCCGCGCAGCGCCGCTCGCAGCGCGCGCCCGTGTACCCCGCGCCGCACACGCACTCGCCTGACACACGCACACACACAAGTCAATATACAGCGCGAGCAATAGCCGAAGTAGCCCGCCGCGCAGCGCCGCTCGCAGCGCGCGCCCGTGTACCCCGCGCCGCACACGCACTCGCCTGACACACGCACACACACAAGTCAATATACAGCGCGAGCAATAGCCGAAGTAGCCCGCCGCGCAGCGCCGCTCGCAGCGCGCGCCCGTGTACCCCGCGCCGCACACGCACTCGCCTGACACACGCACACACACAAGTCAATATACAGCGCGAGCAATAGCCGAAGTAGCCCGCCGCGCAGCGCCGCTCGCAGCGCGCGCCCGTGTACCCCGCGCCGCACACGCACTCGCCTGACACACGCACACACACAAGTCAATATACAGCGCGAGCAATAGCCGAAGTAGCCCGCCGCGCAGCGCCGCTCGCAGCGCGCGCCCGTGTACCCCGCGCCGCACACGCACTCGCCTGACACACGCACACACACAAGTCAATATACAGCGCGAGCAATAGCCGAAGTAGCCCGCCGCGCAGCGCCGCTCGCAGCGCGCGCCCGTGTACCCCGCGCCGCACACGCACTCGCCTGACACACGCACACACACAAGTCAATATACAGCGCAAGCAATAGCCGAAGTAGCCCGCCGCGCAGCGCCGCTCGCAGCGCGCGCCCGTGTACCCCGCGCCGCACACGCACTCGCCTGACACACGCACACACACAAGTCAATATACAGCGCGAGCAATAGCCGAAGTAGCCCGCCGCGCAGCGCCGCTCGCAGCGCGCGCCCGTGTACCCCGCGCCGCACACGCACTCGCCTGACACACGCACACACACAAGTCAATATACAGCGCGAGCAATAGCCGAAGTAGCCCGCCGCGCAGCGCCGCTCGCAGCGCGCGCCCGTGTACCCCGCGCCGCACACGCACTCGCCTGACACATGCACACACACAAGTCAATATACAGCGCGAGCAATAGGCGAAGTAGCCCGCCGCGCAGCGCCGCTCGCAGCGCGCGCCCGTGTACCCCGCGCCGCACACGCACTCGCCTGACACACGCACACACACAAGTCAATATACAGCGCGAGCAATAGCCGAAGTAGCCCGCCGCGCAGCGCCGCTCGCAGCGCGCGCCCGTGTACCCCGCGCCGCACACGCACTCGCCTGACACACGCACACACACAAGTCAATATACAGCGCGAGCAATAGCCGAAGTAGCCCGCCGCGCAGCGCCGCTCGCAGCGCGCGCCCGTGTACCCCGCGCCGCACACGCACTCGCCTGACACATGCACACACACAAGTCAATATACAGCGCGAGCAATAGGCGAAGTAGCCCGCCGCGCAGCGCCGCTCGCAGCGCGCGCCCGTGTACCCCGCGCCGCACACGCACTCGCCTGACACACGCACACACACAAGTCAATATACAGCGCGAGCAATAGCCGAAGTAGCCCGCCGCGCAGCGCCGCTCGCAGCGCGCGCCCGTGTACCCCGCGCCGCACACGCACTCGCCTGACACACGCACACACACAAGTCAATATACAGCGCGAGCAATAGCCGAAGTAGCCCGCCGCGCAGCGCCGCTCGCAGCGCGCGCCCGTGTACCCCGCGCCGCACACGCACTCGCCTGACACACGCACACACACAAGTCAATATACAGCGCGAGCAATAGCCGAAGTAGCCCGCCGCGCAGCGCCGCTCGCAGCGCGCGCCCGTGTACCCCGCGCCGCACACGCACTCGCCTGACACACGCACACACACAAGTCAATATACAGCGCGAGCAATAGCCGAAGTAGCCCGCCGCGCAGCGCCGCTCGCAGCGCGCGCCCGTGTACCCCGCGCCGCACACGCACTCGCCTGACACACGCACACACACAAGTCAATATACAGCGCGAGCAATAGCCGAAGTAGCCCGCCGCGCAGCGCCGCTCGCAGCGCGCGCCCGTGTACCCCGCGCCGCACACGCACTCGCCTGACACACGCACACACACAAGTCAATATACAGCGCGAGCAATAGCCGAAGTAGCCCGCCGCGCAGCGCCGCTCGCAGCGCGCGCCCGTGTACCCCGCGCCGCACACGCACTCGCCTGACACACGCACACACACAAGTCAATATACAGCGCGAGCAATAGCCGAAGTAGCCCGCCGCGCAGCGCCGCTCGCAGCGCGCGCCCGTGTACCCCGCGCCGCACACGCACTCGCCTGACACACGCACACACACAAGTCAATATACAGCGCGAGCAATAGCCGAAGTAGCCCGCCGCGCAGCGCCGCTCGCAGCGCGCGCCCGTGTACCCCGCGCCGCACACGCACTCGCCTGACACACGCACACACACAAGTCAATATACAGCGCGAGCAATAGCCGAAGTAGCCCGCCGCGCAGCGCCGCTCGCAGCGCGCGCCCGTGTACCCCGCGCCGCACACGCACTCGCCTGACACACGCACACACACAAGTCAATATACAGCGCGAGCAATAGCCGAAGTAGCCCGCCGCGCAGCGCCGCTCGCAGCGCGCGCCCGTGTACCCCGCGCCGCACACGCACTCGCCTGACACACGCACACACACAAGTCAATATACAGCGCGAGCAATAGCCGAAGTAGCCCGCCGCGCAGCGCCGCTCGCAGCGCGCGCCCGTGTACCCCGCGCCGCACACGCACTCGCCTGACACACGCACACACACAAGTCAATATACAGCGCGAGCAATAGCCGAAGTAGCCCGCCGCGCAGCGCCGCTCGCAGCGCGCGCCCGTGTACCCCGCGCCGCACACGCACTCGCCTGACACACGCACACACACAAGTCAATATACAGCGCGAGCAATAGCCGAAGTAGCCCGCCGCGCAGCGCCGCTCGCAGCGCGCGCCCGTGTACCCCGCGCCGCACACGCACTCGCCTGACACACGCACACACACAAGTCAATATACAGCGCGAGCAATAGCCGAAGTAGCCCGCCGCGCAGCGCCGCTCGCAGCGCGCGCCCGTGTACCCCGCGCCGCACACGCACTCGCCTGACACACGCACACACACAAGTCAATATACAGCGCGAGCAATAGCCGAAGTAGCCCGCCGCGCAGCGCCGCTCGCAGCGCGCGCCCGTGTACCCCGCGCCGCACACGCACTCGCCTGACACACGCACACACACAAGTCAATATACAGCGCGAGCAATAGCCGAAGTAGCCCGCCGCGCAGCGCCGCTCGCAGCGCGCGCCCGTGTACCCCGCGCCGCACACGCACTCGCCTGACACACGCACACACACAAGTCAATATACAGCGCGAGCAATAGCCGAAGTAGCCCGCCGCGCAGCGCCGCTCGCAGCGCGCGCCCGTGTACCCCGCGCCGCACACGCACTCGCCTGACACACGCACACACACAAGTCAATATACAGCGCGAGCAATAGCCGAAGTAGCCCGCCGCGCAGCGCCGCTCGCAGCGCGCGCCCGTGTACCCCGCGCCGCACACGCACTCGCCTGACACACGCACACACACAAGTCAATATACAGCGCGAGCAATAGCTGAAGTAGCCCGCCGTAAATATTTACAAGTTGATTCATTTCAACTTACTCTTATTTACTCACCATTCACTGGATTACACGGGGCATCATTTTCACAATCGCAAGGTTGTCGACATCGCAATCCGAAAGTTTTTCCATCACATGGCCTATCACATTTTAATCCGTCGAATCTGCAACATACATATTATACTCGTATACACAAATAGTTCATTAGTAGTATTATTATTATTATTAGGGATCTAAAATAGTCGCCCCCAATCCGACTTTGTTCAGCAAAAACTTGATTTCAAACACAAGTTTGTCCTGGTACTCGGCGACGTTTTCCCGAGAAATATTGGCACGGCCGGTGTATAAGGCATCACCAGTGCTGTCGTCTGCATAGCAATGAATGTTACCAGCGTGCAACATATCATTGACATGCAAAAGAAACAGTATTGGTGATAGCACGCAGCCTTGTGGAACACCAGCTTTAGTAGACTTGTAATCAGAGCATGCACCGTCTACTACGACCTTGATGCTCCCGATCAGCAAGGAAACTGGTGATACAATTGCACAATTTCTCGGGAATCCCATGAGAAGAGAGCTGCTAAAGAAGCGCTTTTTGCCAGACATGATCGAAGGCCTTCGCTATGTCCAAACTAACGGCCAATGCTTTCCCCTTGGACTCTACTGCCTCCGCCCGTCTAGAATTAGGTAGACCAGAAGATCACCAGCTGATCGACCTCGACGAAACCCGTATTGGCGGTCACTAATCAGCTGGTGAACCTCAAGGTACCTCATGAGCTGGCAGTTTATAATAGACTCCATTATTTTGGAGAACAAGGAGGTGATGGCGATAGGCCTGTAGTTGGAAGTGATGGCGATAGGCCTGTAGTTGGAAGTGATGGCAATAGGCCTGTAGTTGGAAGTGATGGCGATAAGCCTCTAGTTGGAGGTGATGGCGATATGCCTGTAGTTGGACGGGTCTGAGCGGTCGTCTTTTTTAGGGATCGGGTGGACCAAAGCTGTCTAAAAAAATCTCACTAAAATTTTTGTTATTGACTGAGCGCGATTGCTGATTAAGGGGTGTTGGATTTAAATCCCGAGTCGGGCCGAAATCAGTTATTGGTTAGTCCTGCGCGTGACCTCACTCCAGTTGTGTCGGATTGCCGTTCCATCATGCTACGTGAAAGAATGAAAAGAGAGTGCATTTGTCTTTACACACACACTTGGTCACTATAATCCTGTCCTGCGCAGATGGCTAGTCTTCATCTGTTGAGACTGATCGCTGTGATCGAAACTCGGTCGGGATGACATTATTATTATTTTACATTACTTTGAATAGGTTGTTCACTAAGTTTGTTACGTACATGTGGATTTTCCGATTTTTATCACTTTTTATTCAGTTTCAGAATTAAAAATTATTAGATAGGATTAGCATAGATTCCCAAATTTTGAGAGCTACTAAGACATTGATCCAGTAGTTACAATTTTGGACGACATATATTATGAAGATATTTCTTGTCCCGTTTGATTTAAAGTTTGTTATAACATTAAGGATTTTAAAATTTCAAATGAAGGTTTTTTTTGTTCAAATAGGCAGTCACTTGTGAGAGATTAAGATGCTTCATTATAAATAGCATAAAAAAGGAGGTACCCGGGCGGGCAGTCGCAGTGGCCGGTCTCGTGCGAGCAGGTGGCGTTGTTCTGGCACTGGCAGGTGTCGGCGCAGTTGTCGCCGTAGTGCGGGAACGGGCACGGCTCCTCGCAGCGCAGCCCGCGGTAGCCCGGCGCGCACAGGCACGACCCTGCCACACCGACCGCACACGTGCAACGTCAAATACAAATATCAATTCATTCTCTTTATTTTTCGAACGAAATATTTTGGTGAGCTAAACGTCATTTGAAATCAACTACCGTTTCAAAACGTGATTCCTTTTACCGGAAGGAAACAACCTAAGAAACTCCGTGGATTTTCTTATATTTGTCTTTTAAATATTATAATACTTATAAAATAAAAGTAATATGAAAAATGCGTAAGAAAGTGTATATCAAGAAAACCCTACACCTCTATCATCCACCATATTACTTTTTATAACTAAGATAATTTATTGATACCGCAATTGTTTAATCCATTGAGCCGTTAAGGCTACAGAATGTGCCACAGAAATAGACATACATTACACAACCTTACTCTCCTTCTGGAGCAGTCGGATAAAAATCGAACTAATATACACATACCAAAACACGTGTACACAGTCATCGTGTACAATCATACTGTCCATTATAGTATAATCATGCACGCATGCATTAATATACCGAGTGAGGATAAAGTTATCACATTAAATGAAAAGACGTATCCTACATATATTTCTTTAAACATACACAACTAAAAAAATATATAACAATTAATATTTTAGTCGCCGCAGCATTTTTTTCGTTTTAATATTAATTAACGTCATGTAAATGCACACAGATATCACCTGATGAATACTAGAAGGTCAAAGACCCATGGCGTTCGAAGGCGAGTAGGTACCTAACCTAGTTAAACGTTGCCAATTGAAAATACTACTAAAAAAAAGTCAAGCAAAAAATGTACTTACGTCTAACAATTTAAGGCATAATATTATGTGCGAAATTAAAACAAAGGGACCGCGCGCTGCGGGTGTGTCAAAACAAACTCAAGCGAAAAATTAACTTAAAATAAAGAAGTTAAGGCATAATTCTCTATATACGACAAGAAATGGGACGGAGTGTCAAAATTCATATTTAAGGCGGCTACTGACCTGCCTGCCGCAGGGGCAATCTAGGGAGCACAGCGATTGGAGCAATATCGAAGGCCGCAGGGCCGACTTAAAAAATTGCCCCTGCTTGCCTACACACATCACAATTAAGGAGGCAATTAAGGGTCATCCCCACTCCTACACCCTAGATTGCCCCTGCGGCAGGCAGGTCAGTAGCCACCTTTACGTCTGGCGCGTGCGTCCGACGCCGGCGTCCTTGGGGATCGTTCATCGAGTCGCTTGACCTAATTTTCGTTTTTAAGTTTTAACACGTCCTTTAAGTTTTAATTGTTGTTTTTTTTTTTTGTTTTGTGAACATTTTAATTAGTTTCTTAATTTGTTTGTGATAGGACACGTTAATAATACGCTAGATTAGATATTTAATAACTTAGTGGTATGACAGCCCGTGCGCAATTGCACGCTTTTATTTTTTTAACGTCTTAACTTATTTTTTAATTTTAAGATGATTTGCATCACAATTGCACGTCGTCAGAATACACCGACATGATGTTTTTTTTTTTTCAAAATTTGATTTGTTTTGATTATTAAACTTGAGTGATTTCAAGTGATTATTTGGATAAAAACAATACCATGAAATTTATGATTAGTTGATAACATCGGATTTGCATAAAGCGCGCCTAATTATCTATGTATGGTCAAGTGTAGGTATTATAATTACCTATGTCGATGTCACGTGAGCACTGAGCACTGTTGCCAGTTTTACAGGTCGCTTCAGATCAGTAAACTTATATTATCAAGGATGATTTATTTCTTGTCAATTTTTTATGCTATATATTTTGTTTGAAAAATGATTTTTTTTATTTTCTTTTATTATTGTTTATTTTATTATTTTAACAGACATATATGAACTTGTATTAACTGCTGTGCTATTTAACGTGATAACCTAGGCACCACCCAGTATACAGTGGTCAGTCGTGCAAGTACACTATGCGTGTACAGTCATGAACATAATACGTTTGCGTGAAATATCGTGATTGTAAGTGCATACCGTTGACGGGCGAACAGTGGCCGCTGTTTTCACAGCGGCAAGTGGAGCGGCAGCCCTTGCCGTACGTGAGCAGCGGGCACTGGCGCGAGCACGTCTCGCCGCCCCAGCCCGCAGCACACTCGCACGCGCCCGTCCACGGGTCGCACCTGCGCAAATTATTGCAAACCATATTATAAACATAATATTAGTTAATGTGTGCAATCTTTTTTGAACATTTATTACCTGTATGTTGTAGAACTTGTGTATATTGAAAAACTAAATCCTAATTATTGACTTCATTATATAAAAGTTGACAACGCGATGGTACGAAATCCTTGACAAATTAAAACCTGTAACTGTAATGATTTTAGCTGATTGTAATGCTATGTCAAAATCTACCAACTCCATATCATAGCCTAGTGCCACAAATAAAACTGGGATACACCACAATCATCCTTACGTACTTGGGCAGAGAGAAATCTTAACTCTTACTATGTTACGAGATCACAGGATGGCTATAGGGCTTTTTAACAATAAATAAAAAGCATTAGCAAACCCGAAAATAAACAACCTATCTTTTATTATTGTATAATGTTATATACAAAGGATTCGAACATATAAATTATAAAACAAAACTGTAGAATTGTTTGTCAGCCGTACAATGCACCATGCACGCAGCGCTCGCCGCGCCAGCCCGGCCTGCAGGCGCACGAGCCGTAGGTGACGTGACGTGACTCACATGTCGGTGGTGGCGGGGTTGCACTCGCAGTCGCGGCTGCAGCGCGCGCCCCACTTGCCGTCGGGGCAGGCGCGCAGCTCGCAGCGCTCGCCGCGCCAGCCCGGCCTGCAGGCGCACGAGCCGTACGTGACGTGACGTGACGTGACTCACATGTCGGTGGTGGCGGGGTTGCACTCGCAGTCGCGGCTGCAGCGCGCGCCCCACTTGCCGTCGGGGCAGGCGCGCAGCTCGCAGCGCTCGCCGCGCCAGCCCGGCCTGCAGGCGCACGAGCCGTACGTGACGTGACGTGACGTGACTCACATGTCGGTGGTGGCGGGGTTGCACTCGCAGTCGCGGCTGCAGCGCGCGCCCCACTTGCCGTCGGGGCAGGCGCGCAGCTCGCAGCGCTCGCCGCGCCAGCCCGGCCTGCAGGCGCACGAGCCGTACGTGACGTGACGTGACGTGACTCACATGTCGGTGGTGGCGGGGTTGCACTCGCAGTCGCGGCTGCAGCGCGCGCCCCACTTGCCGTCGGGGCAGGCGCGCAGCTCGCAGCGCTCGCCGCGCCAGCCCGGCCTGCAGGCGCACGAGCCGTACGTGACGTGACGTGACGTGACTCACATGTCGGTGGTGGCGGGGTTGCACTCGCAGTCGCGGCTGCAGCGCGCGCCCCACTTGCCGTCGGGGCAGGCGCGCAGCTCGCAGCGCTCGCCGCGCCAGCCCGGCCTGCAGGCGCACGAGCCGTACGTGACGTGACGTGACGTGACTCACATGTCGGTGGTGGCGGGGTTGCACTCGCAGTCGCGGCTGCAGCGCGCGCCCCACTTGCCGTCGGGGCAGGCGCGCAGCTCGCAGCGCTCGCCGCGCCAGCCCGGCCTGCAGGCGCACGAGCCGTACGTGACGTGACGTGACGGGACTCACATGTCGGTGGTGGCGGGGTTGCACTCGCAGTCGCGGCTGCAGCGCGCGCCCCACTTGCCGTCGGGGCAGGCGCGCAGCTCGCAGCGCTCGCCGCGCCAGCCCGGCCTGCAGGCGCACGAGCCGTACGTGACGTGACGTGACGGGACTCACATGTCGGTGGTGGCGGGGTTGCACTCGCAGTCGCGGCTGCAGCGCGCGCCCCACTTGCCGTCGGGGCAGGCGCGCAGCTCGCAGCGCTCGCCGCGCCAGCCCGGCCTGCAGGCGCACGAGCCGTACGTGACGTGACGTGACGGGACTCACATGTCGGTGGTGGCGGGGTTGCACTCGCAGTCGCGGCTGCAGCGCGCGCCCCACTTGCCGTCGGGGCAGGCGCGCAGCTCGCAGCGCTCGCCGCGCCAGCCCGGCCTGCAGGCGCACGAGCCGTACGTGACGTGACGTGACGGGACTCACATGTCGGTGGTGGCGGGGTTGCACTCGCAGTCGCGGCTGCAGCGCGCGCCCCACTTGCCGTCGGGGCAGGCGCGCAGCTCGCAGCGCTCGCCGCGCCAGCCCGGCCTGCAGGCGCACGAGCCGTTGCGCGCCGAGCATTCGCCGCCGTGCAAGCACGCGCATGTGCCCTGACACCCCACTCCGTACGTGCCCAGCGGACATGGCTCCACACACTGCACCACAATATTACTGATTATTATGATATATTTTAGATTATATTAAGATTAAATTTTAGTTTTATCATGCCTGTTAATGAAAGACCATTAAAATCTTTGAAATTAATTAGCTTAAAGAACAATGGCAGACTTTCATACATAAAATTAGTTAAGAAGGAATGGTAGCGTCTATATATCAAAAATATCTTAAAATGTTTTCTTTTTTATATAGGAGAGGCGGCAAACGAGCATGCCGCTCACCTGATGGTAAGTGACTACCGCCGCCCATGAATAACCGCAACACCAGGGGAATTGCAGATGCGTTGCCGGCCTTTTAACCGATTCGTTGCGGCACCAATTTTCGACAACTTTTAGCTGTGGCGGCGAACAAATATTTCATGATACGCCGGACGTATCAAGCGCCACAGACAAAAATGACACGCCTATTGTGCCATCCGCCATGTGTAAAAGTAATGTTTATGCTTTTTTTACTTGTTTAGACCTAATTAAGTTTATTTGACATCAAACATAAGTTACAAATGGAAGCATACTTGTTTTTAGTGGGTAACTACGTGTTTTCTTTGTAAATTGAGAGAGTGACTTTTTTTATGAAGAGATTACAAACCTTTTGTACTATTTTTTGTTGTTATAAAAAAATCATTTATATAAGTAGGTACAGCTAAATCACCCTGGAAACCTTGGTTTTATTAAATTAAATTTTCACCTAATAATAAGATTTGTAAATATCAAACAATGAAGAACGTTAATTTGAAAAAAAAATAAGGTATATCATTCATTGATATTTACAATTGTTAAATATTATTTAATGTTATACAAATGTAAAAGTAAAGTCGATCTGAAAACGTGTAATTAGTAAGAATAGCAAAACAAGTGTTTTCAAAAGAAAAAAAAACGCGGGCGCTATACGGCGGCGGATTGACAAAAGACTATTTATTAGCGAACTTTTTTTATACATGAACGGTTTCGAACTGTTTCAAGCAAAAATCTTCTACCATATCACAAGAGCACATGGTACTTCGTAGGTCTATTCGGCCATATGATAATAATAAGAAGGCAGTTCAACCATTTTAAGAAAAATTAAACAATAAGACAAACGCATTGTTTTTTTTTTAACAGGAGCCTTGTTTTCCAGAAATTTATTTACAACTTGAGTTTGTGAGCGATCGCAATGAGTGCTATTATTTGTTACTAATTAGACAATTTTTCCATAACATGATTTAAAACCCACAAAGTAAAAATAGTACCATGTACACGTTAAAAAAAGGTTGTCTACCCCTAAAAATTTCAAATTTTCAAAATATCCAGAAACGAAGCTGCATGCATGAACTACTCGCAAAATAATGAATATTTTGCTGTGGATAAATTTTCCAAAAAAGCAATTTGAGCGAGTTATAACGATTTTAAAAAAGACACGACTCGCGTGTCATACGCCACACACAAAAGTAATCGACGGCACGCCTGGCGTGTCACCCGCACTGAACCGGTTAAAAAGGAGTAGGCTCTTTTCTTGAAGGTCCCTAAGTCGTATCGGTCCGGAAAAATCGCTGATGGTAATCGATTCCACAAGGAAGTCCTGCGAGGAAGAAAACATCTTCTAAATCGCACAGTGGTGGACCGCCAATCATCCAGATGGTGTGGATGGTATCGGGAGTTCTGCCGGAGTGAAATTTGGCGGCTGGGATTAATCCGAACATCTCCTCAGAGCACTCCCCGTGGTAGATTCGAAAGAAAATGCAAAGGGATGCAACATCTCTTCGCAGTGCCAATGAATTGAGCCGATCGGAAAGGACTCGGTCGTCGACGATTCGAGCCGCTCTGCGCTGGATGCGGTCAAATGGAACGAGCTGGCACTGGGGAGCCTCTGCCCAGAGATGGGAACAGTATTCCATGTGAGGCCGAACCTGCGCCTTGTAAAGTTGCAAGCGGTGTGCCGGCATGAAATACTGTCCCGCCCTGCTGAGCACGCCAAGCTTTCTTTTTAATTTAGTTTTTTTTTAGATGCCAATTTGGCCTTCTCTTCCAAGTGACCACGAAACTGCACGTCACTCGATATGTCGACTCCGAGGATTCTGATACTGGCTGAGGCAAGAAGGGGAGTGCCTTGAAACTGAGGAGATACGACAAAGGGGTTCTTTTTAGCGGTAAACGCGCAAACTTGTGTCTTCTGAGGATTAAACTGGACTAGATTTAGTCGCCCCCAATCCGAGACTTTGTTCAGCAAAGACTCGACTTCAGACACAAGTTTGTTCCGGTACTCGGCGACGTTTTCCCGAGAAATATTGGCACGGCCGGTGTATAGAGCATCAACAGTGCTGTCATCCGCATAGCAATGAATGTTACCAGTTAGCAACATATCATTGATATGCAGAAGAAACAGCGTCGGTGATAGTACACAGCCTTGTGGAACACCAGCGTTAATAGGCTTGTAGTCGGAGCATGCATCGTCTACAACGACCTTAATGCTCCGATCTGCAAGGAAGCTGGTGATCCAATTGCACAATTTCTCGGGAAGCCCATAGGAAGGGAGCTTCGAAAGAAGCGCTTTGTGCCAAACCCGATCGAAGGCCTTCGCAATGTCCAAACTAATGGCCAATGCCTCCCCCTTGGACTCTACTGCCTCCGCCCATCTATGGGTCAGGTAGAACAGAAGATCACCAGCTGATCGACCCCGACGAAAACCGTATTGGCGGTCACTAATCAGCTGGTGATCCTCAAGGTACCGCATGAGCTGGCAGTTAATAATGGATTCCATTATTTTGGAGAACAAGGGGTGATGGCGATAGGCCTATAGTTGGACGGGTCTGAGCGGTCGACTTTTTTAGGGATCGGGTGGACAAAAGCTGTCTTCCATGAATTCGGGACTACGCCTTGGGAGTAGGAGTACCGGAAAAGACGCGTTAGGACCGGTGCCAAATCCGGAGCACACATCTTCAGAACAATTGGGGGAATTCCGTCATGCCCACTCAACTTCTGGATGTCCAGGGAGAGGAGTGCTTTGCGAACCGAGCGCTGTGAGAACAGCACATCCGGCATGGAGCACTCACACCGCGGGATGGTCGGCGGTGTTTTCCCCCCGTCATCAAGAGTCGAGAAATCAAAAAGGGAGCCTAAAAGGTCGGCTTTGTCTTTTGCGTCTTGGGCCAGTGAGTCGTCCTCCCTGTGCAGAGATGGTAGTGAGGGCTTACAGAAATTCCCTTGGACAGCCTTGGCGACAGACCAGAATGCACGGGTTCCCGAAGGAAGGCGAACCAGTTTCTCGCCAATTCCGCCTATGTGCTCTGACTTTGCCATGGCAATAACTGTTTTGAAGGACTTGGAGGCGAAGTTATACTTCTTTTTAAGTGTGCTGGTGTTTACATTCCGAGTCGCCGAAGCCGCAACCCAGGCTTGATAACACTCCTGCTTACTGCGTAATGCAGTCTTACAGGAACGACCAAACCAAGGCTGAGATCTGCCTCCGATGGGTACCACAGATGATGGAATAAATAGTTCCATTCCCTGTAGCACCACATCAGTGACAGAGTCAGCAACAGCGCTGGGATCATCCGGCGAGAAGCAAAAAAAATGGGTAGGATGCAAAGAAAGACCGCATTCGGTCCCAATCCGCCGACCTGTAATGCCAAACACGGCGGCAACCTGCAGAACGCAACCGGGAGGAGAGCGTGAGTGGCACCACACTCCGGATCAGACAATGGTCCGAAGAGCCAAGAGGGGCATCGGCGGGCCATTCGGCGTGGTGGGCGTTAAAATCGCCAAGGACCACGATCTCTGCGGATGTGACCTGTTGTAGCAAGAAATCTGTAGCCATTTGGACGTGGTCGATGAGTCGGTCTGTTTCGGCATTACCGCTATGGGACCTATAGAGGCACCCGTAGACGCGCGGATGGTCGTCGCTGTTCTCACAGCGCTCGGTTCGCAGAACACTCCTCCCCCCATTTGTGCTGAGGACGTATGCTCCAGAGTTGGCACCGGTTCTAACGCGTCTTTTCCGGTACTCCTACTCCCTAGGCGTAGTCCCGAAATTATGGAAGACAGGTTTTTGTCGACCTTATCCCTATAAAAGGCGACCGCTCAGACCCGTCCAACTACAGGCCTATCGCCATCACCCCCTTGTTCTCCAAAATAATGGAATCCGTTATGAACTGCCACCTCATGCGGTACCTTGAGGATCACCAGCTGATTAGTGACCGCCAATACGGTTTTCGTCGGGGTCAATCAGCTGGTGATCTTCTGGTCTACTTAACTCATAGATGGGCGGAGGCAGTAGAATCCAAAGGGGAGGCATTGGCCGTTAGTTTGGTCATTGCGAAGGCCTTCGATCGGGTTTGGCACAAAGCGCTTCTTTCGAAGTTCCCTTCCATGGGCTTCCCGAGAAAATATGCAATTGGATCACCAGCTTTCTTGCAGATCGGAGCATCAAGGTCGTTGTAGACGGTGCATGCTCCGACTACAAGCCTATCAACGCTGGTGTTCCACAATGCTGCGTGCTATCACCAACGCTGTTTCTTCTGCATATCAATGATATGTTGCAAGCCGGTAGCATTCATTGCTATGCAGATGACAGCACTGATGATGCTCTATACACCGGCCGTGCCAATATTTCTCGGGAAAACGTCACCGAGTACCGGAACAAATTTGTGTCTGAAGTAGAGTCCAGTTTAATCATCAGAAGACACAAGTTTGCGCGTTTACCGCTTAAAAGAACCCCTTTGTCGTATCTCCTCAGTTTCAAGGTACTCCCCTTGTTGCTTCAGCCAGTATGGGAATACTCGTCGTCGGCATATCGAGTGACGTGCAGTTTCGTGGTCACTTGGAAGAGAAGGCAAAATTGGCCTCTAAAAAGCTTGGCGTGCTCAGCAGAGCGGGACAGTATTTCATGCCGGCACAACGCCTGCAACTTTACAAGGCGCAGGTTCGGCCTCACATGGAATACTGTTCCCATCTCTGGGCTGCGGCTCCCCAGTGCCAGCTCCTTCCTCTTGATCACATCCAGCGCA